ACATATACATATTCATAAGTGTATGCATATACATGTGAATGACTATATGCATATTCATAAGTATATACATATGCATATGAATAAGCATATGCATATGTATATTCAGAAGTAAATGCATATTCAGAAGTAAATGCATATCCATGTGAATAAGTATATGCATATGCATAAGAACACATATATGCATATGCATATGAATAAGCATATGCATATACATAAGAATAAGTATATGCATATTCATAAGTATATACTTATCCATATGAATAAGTACATGCATATGTATAAGAATAAGTATATGCATATCAGCATATGCATATGAATAAGTATATGCATATGCATAAAAATAAGTATATGCAGCAATTAAATACATATGATTATGCTTATGTATATGCATATACATATGTATATACATATGAATAAGTATGTGACATATGCATATTCATATGAATAACCATATGTATATATGCTTATGTCGTAGATTTGTGTCATATGCATGTGCATATGCATATAGATTTATGACATTCTTGAAATTATGAAACTTGACCTACATATTAAATCAATCACTGCTCACTGTGCATTTGACATTAAGAAACCATTTGAAAAATAAATGTACGCATCTATCCAGAGCACATGTTACCTAAACACAATATAAATTTAAAGTTTAGTCCAAGGCATTGTGCATTTGAATAATGTATAGTTTAATATAAATGTACTTGAAAATTTACCCTCGATATGATTCTTGGTTATGGTTATTGGTCTTTAAACCAACTTCATGTGACCTTTGCGAGATTGCAAGGAACTCTGTTTACCAGTCTGGATTCTCGTATGCAGCAAAGGTATTGTTTTTTTTTTTTTTTGAAAAGATCAAGGAAGGGTAAAATATGAATTTATGATTTATCTTTTGTAAATTGTAGGCACAACGGTTGGGTGGGAAGTATTTTAAGAGAGGGCCAAATTGACTCACATAACAATCCTTAGCTTAAGACCGATAATGGATCTCCCTCACCCGTTCACCACGTTATTCAAGCACCTGCATAATACAAACACAATATTAAAAATTAAATCAAACCAATACTAACTTTACTATAAAAAATTACTTAAATTTTGCATTTAATTCACAACCATTTCTCCATCTTGAATCTTCCGTTGTACAAACAAGCCCCATCCATGTATACCATGTTTACCAAAATAAGCATGCTACTTTGTTGTCCTCTGTTTGACGAGATACTTCCAAAATGCAAACTCAACAAAACAAGAATAATGATTTGGCACCAAGTCTTTAACTTTTAGTTAAGATAAAATTAATATAATAATATGAAACGATAATGTGTTTATCCACGTATTCCAAAATCCAAACTCAACACAACATATCAAAGTTTAAGAAATCAATCTTGATGCTACATACATTACAACCATTTTAATTGACTAATTCTATAATATTTCTCTATTTTACAGGTACTATCTATTTTACAGGTACTACAGTGAAAATGCACACACAAATCCCAAGAATATAACCAAATATAAATAAAAAACATTGGAGACCATTTCAAGGGGTATGCTTTCGGTTAACTACACAGTGATTCACGATTCATGTTGCAGCAGAAGTGTTAAAACATACTGAGTTTCTTAAATACTCAATCATGAAATTGTATATATATATATATATATATATATATATATATATATATATATATATATATATATATATATATAGAGAGAGAGAGAGAGAGTGAGTGAGTGAGTGAGTGAGTGAGTGAGAGAGAGAGAGAGAGCTAGGTTCAAATGTGGATTGACATCTATTGTACGGACGTGTGGACAGTGCTATTCCGTGAGAATGACAAAGAAAATATGTTGTTTGATAGTATGAAGACGTTCAGTCTTACATAACTACTGTCATTATCACACATTTTCACTAACTAAATCGTCTATAAGGTTATTATAGACTTTTTATTATTATTCTCATTTTGTCAGAATATTTATTGAGTCGTATTCTGTAAGAATGAAAATGAGTGAAAAACGATGTGTGAAAACAAAAATGAATAAGAATTAGTGAGAATGCATGAAAATGACAATAGTTGTGTGAGGTTGAACGTATTCGCATTACTAAACAACTTATTCTCTTAGTCATTCTCATAGATAACACTGTCCACACGTCCGCACATTAGTTGTTCATCCACATTATAACCTAGCCCTATATATATATATATATATATATATATATATATATATATATATATATATATATATATATATATATATAGATAGAGAGAGAGAGAGAGAGAGAGAGAGAGAGAGCTAGGTTCAAATATGGATTGACATCTATTGTGCGGACGTGTGGACAGTGCTATTCTGTGATAATGACAAAGAAAATATGTTGTTTGATAATATGAATACGTTCAATCTTACATAACTATTGTCATTGTCACACATTCTCACTAACTAAATTGTCTATAAGATTATTATAGACTTTTTATTATTATTCTCATTCTGTCAGAATGTTGTCAGAATATTTATTGAGTCGTATTCTGTCAGAATGAAAATGAGTGAAAAACGATGTGTGAGAACAAAAATGAATAAGAATTAGTGAGAATGCATGAAAATGACTATATTTTTGTAAAGTTTAACGTATTCGCATTACTAAACAACTTATTCTCTTAGTAATTCTTATAGAATAGCACTCTCCACACGTCCGCACAGTAATTGTCCATCCACATTATAACCTATCCCTATATATATATATATATATATATATATATATATATATATATATATATATATATATATATATATATATAGATATAGACACACACTCGACTTTAATCACTTGATTGGGCTTTTCTCTATATAACCAAGGGACAGTGATGAATTCAACTTTTAATTTTAATATCTTTAAATTTGTGGATATTATAAATAATTATGAAAGATTCATTACAGGGTCGTGGAGAAATATTATTATTTTGGGTGTCTTTGGAACAAGCGGTTTATCAACTGAAATTTAAATGTAGATTGGGACATAATAATGAGGGAATGTTTGATTTGTTTTTCATTCATTCATTCTTGTGATGGAGAAACACACCTTTGAGTGAGAATTAAGGTTTGTCATAAACCCCACATGACATGCAACCTACTACAATTATTTCTTCCAAACAAAAGCCATGTAATTTCCAAGTATTCTTATTATAATTTGAAGCCATCTATGTTCTTGATTTTGCATTAGAATATATTTTATCGCATCAATTTTAGATAGTAATCACAGAGTAAATTAACTGCTTGGACAAAGACATGCGAGTGAGATCCCATGAGAATATGAAATGAGGATTAATTTTGATCCTCCAACTGAAGACACTAATCAAAAGATGTTATGTACTTGTATGTGAAGTGAAAGCTAAACAACATATAATGTTTTTGATGACATGTTATTTATAGAGTACAAAGTTGTTTTCTTCTGTTTGCGGATATACAGAGGAGTTCCACATGTGACATATGTGGTTGTTATTTGTTAATGCTCTCAAAATTCAGGTGGCAGCATTGTATTTCTCTTTTGAGAGCCAACTTTTGTTGTTGAATATATAAATTAACACACGATCGTATCTAAATATCATTAAACTTATTAATTATCCGATCATATATTCTACGTATAAAATTCTTATAGTGTCAACGTAAATATCACAAACTTATAAGAATAAGATAGTACTCTACTAATAAAGAAAGAACGTGATCTATCATCAACGACTTTGCTCAGTGACTGTGTTGATATTCTTTAAATTATATATTTCATTTAAAAAGTTGATACTAATTTTGACATTCAAGTTATTCTATGATCCAATTTTGGAAATTTAACGTGGTCAATTATCGGTGAAAGGGGTTAATTTGACTTTAGAAAAGTACTTTTGAAAATTATAATTCTATGCTGAGAGAATTCAATGAAAGTGATATTATGATGCAAAAATTCCTTTTCATGTACCATCACTTGGAGACAATGCCAACCATGCATTTGTTTGCCCCTATCCCATCACCAATTAATTTTTTGTTATAAATGATTTAAGTTGGATTTGAGAAGTTATTTGAATTGTATTTAAGTCTGATTATAACTTATAAATTGTTTTATTCTTTGTATCATGTGTTTTAGAAAATTAAAAAAACAAATAAATAATATTTATGAGCTAAAACTCAATCTGACAAATCATACAGTGTAACACGTTTGAAGTAAAAACGCTTTTTACATTTACTACATAAATCGTTACATAACTTGACTTGACTTGTTAGCTTTAAGGGATGATATTTAACTAGAATTTGAAAACAAAACTTTAGCTATAATTTCCTTTAATTATTGTAAGTATGTCATTTTCTTATGATAAGCCCAGATTAACTTTTTATTATAAAATTCATAAATGTAATAATTTTATTATATCAAACGATTTCTATAAATCAGCTTAAGCATGAGAAATAAGTTCATTCCCACTCCCTCGGGTTCTCATTACTTTCTGCCTTTATAGACTTCCATAGAACATGTGAGAACCCGGTCCGACCCGCCCCGCGTGCAATTATATTAAATCGGCCACTAAAACTAAAAAGCTTTCTAAATTCTAATAGACCGGTCAAATAAAATCGCCCGCAGCGCAAATCACGCCTGCCCGTGTGATACTGATACACCTAAAATATTCACTTAATACTCTTAAAAAGCTTCTATAGTTATTGCTTTATACACGATGTAAATACAACTTTTTTTTTTTCAGGATATCATCAACTTTTAAATAATAGAGAATCATAAATTAAAAAAAAAAAAAAACAGGGGCTTTAAGAAATATTATACGTATTATTATCCTTCCAAACAAAGAGCTCACTCAAATCTCCGTTTTCAGAGATACATAAATTAAAAGAAAATTTCCTAATTAATATATAGATGGTAACATTACTATTATGATAACCGTTTGTATCGGTGCAAAATTTGTTGGATGGTATCAACTATCAACCATCCAACTGAATGATACGGATGCTTATGTTTAAAAACATCCGGTCATCAGAACATCGGCAGGAAGAAAATCGCCAGTAATATCTTGAAAGTAGTCATCAACCTTGAGTATCGATGATGAAGTAACATCCAGCATCATATCATTACAGATTCCAAAGTCTTCGTCCCATAATGAATTGTTGGTAGCATCATTGCACCATATTTGGGTGTCTTCAAATGGTAGTGTCGCAAAGTTATCGTCTGTTACAAACTCTGCTGATGGGGCTTCGTTTTCAATATGGATCGGGTCAGGTAAGTCGAACTCATCGATGGGTGAATATTTTAGGAATGGTGATTCTTCATCAAAGAGGAGCGGGTCACGGGTTGGGAAGTCGAATAGATTATCCAAGAATGGATCATCAATTTCTAATTCATCCATTGTGAAATCTCCTAATTGACCCGCACCAAGGTCATGGATCATTTGATAGTCAAATCTCTCCTGACCCGACCCATTGTCTGATTGACACTCCTCGGCTTCCTTGACCGGTTCAAGTCCTTCTTTTGAGTTGCTCTCGCTTTCGAACCGTAACACTGATGTCGGAGATGGAAGGTTGTTTGACTCTTCGCCGGACTCATAACCAGACGTTGACGGAACGTTAATCTCCGGCGTAGTCTCTTTGGCCGGCGGCGTCACAAAATTGGTTAAAGCGTCGGGCCCACGTAGTTTAATAGCGGCATTGTCGTACACCATAGCAGCTTCCTCCGCTGTATCATAAGTACCCAACCACAGCCGTACACGTCTAGCTGGGTCCCTAATTTCAGCCGCCCATTTCCCCCATGGCCTTTGTCGTACTCCCCGGAACTTCCTAATACCCCCCGCCGGCACTGCTGGAGCACCGGCAGTCTTCATCGCCTTTTGTTTAGCTTGAAGAGACCCTTCACCGTTTCTCGCTGTCTTTTTCCGACCACCGACGGCAGCCACTGCTGTTTTTAACGAGGTTTGAATATTAACCTCATTGACATACTTCTTGACCCGCCGCCGTCCAAACAACTCGTCTTCATCGTCACTGGAGGAGTCGGTAGCATCAGGGTCAGTCATCGATATCCGTACAACTTTTGGCAACGACGCCGTTTGCCGATCAGATAACTTCTTAGATTTCACCGCCATTAATGGGTTAGCAGCCACCATTGTTGTAACGTTTTTGTGTTGAGTGTACTTGATCGGACGTAACATATCGTAGCTATCCATCTTACATACAAATTAACTCAAACTCGCATCCAAAAGAACCCGCAGAAAGATTTCTTTAGAAATGACTGAAAGTTAGGATCTTTAGTCAGAAAGAAGCTTCAGCCAGAATCAAGAATCGAATAAAAATTCTTCAAAAAGAAGACCCTTAAAGGAAAAGCTGATTAATTGGTAAAAGAGAGTTCTTTTACGAAAAAGAAGACACATACGATATGGGTGTGTGAAGCTTGAAGTTGTTTGGGGTGCACCAATGGCGAATGCAAGTGGGTAGATTTTGTTCTTAAAGAAGCAAGAGATATAGAGAGAGAGAGAGAGAGAGAGAGAGAGAGAGAGAGAGAATATGAAAAGAAGACCAAAAGAATTTGGAAGTTGAAATGACAAGAGAAGAGAAATTTAGAGTTTTATAGGATCCGACTCCAACGTACCCAATTTCGAAACTCATTTTAATAATTAATTTATTATAAATATTTCTTTAATTTAAAATATAATAATTAAAAGGAACCAAAAATATCTTAAACCGACGAGGTAAAAGTAGCGACGGGACTTGAAAATTAAACGGAAGCAATCGTCTTATTCCATATAAAATAAATCATAATACTCATTTCTTGGAAGATATCTTAAAAAATAGAAAGGAAAAATGATCACAATTACAGTTGCGGATTCTTGTTTTATTTTATTTATCAATATCAGTTATGTTTTCAACTATTGATTCTTGGAGTTTAATTGGTAAAATTTGAGGGTTTGGTAATTGGTGAGGTAAAAGTATCGGCGGTGTTCGGAGGTAAAAGATTCCGACGACAGTCCGGAAAAGAACAGCTCGCGGCATCTCGATAGATGTTGACACGTAAGTGAAGGGTGAGAGACAATGGTCCAATGAGTGAACTCGAAGCAATGCTGACTCAGCACATGGTTAACCTCGTATATCGTGACACCAGTCACGTGAGACCCAGGATGCTCGGCCACTCCGTTAAAATCATGTCGGTCAAATTTAAATCAAATTATCACAACCTCAACACCTTTGACCAATTTAATTTTGGTTTTTTCCTGTTTTTCACTCTATTATTACAGTATTAATATTATTAGGCTATTTATTAGCTGTAAAATTTGGCGTCCTGGTTCGTACTTGACTACTTGGTAACATGGTTTCCAATCCTTTGGTAACTTTTTTTGGATGATCAATTTATTAACAAAAAATTGTCAATCCATATATGTTATTAGAATAAATACAAAATTATTATGAATAGAAATAAAATATATTTCCTTATACAGATAAAGAAAGTAAAATATGTTATTATTTTCTGCAATCTATCGTTTAATAAATATATTTTAACTTCTGGATAAAACTATAAAGTTTATTTCAAGTTGTGATGTAGTTAAAATGTTACATGTGAAATTTAATTGTACAACTTTTTAGCTTTTACAGCAAACAAACAACTAACGTGGGTAACCTCGTATCTGGGGCCATACTCCATATATAATTCCACCATGTACGTCTCTGGGTTTTGCTCTGTTTCTTTAATAACTTTTTTCGAGGTTGGGGTTTTTTACCTATTCATATTTAACTACTACAACGTATATGCTAAATTAATAAAGTTTTTAAGCAAAACTAAAAAGAAGAATTGTTATGGTATTTACGCTGTCAAATGATACAGTCATGTATATATATTTATCAATGAAATTAAACGTACGTGTCTTATTTCGATAAAGTTGTCAAGTAAATGTCATAATATATATATTTTTAATCTTTCTTTTTTCTTATTTATATAAAGTTGTAAAGTAAAATTTTCTATAAGGAACAAAATGCTTTAAAAATATACTTTCTTTGCAAAATATTCCCACAAACTTCACTTTATAAAACGTTTTACAAAAGGAGATACTTGTCATAAAACAAAATTTAAACCATAAAAGGGAAAAAAAAACATAGACATTCTATGTATAAAATAGAAACTGAACAAGAAAAAGTTTGTTTATAGCTTCAAAATTATTTTTTGTTTATGTTTTGTTTTGTTTTTTGTTTTTTGTTTTGCTTTTTTTTGTCTTTTTTGTATTTTATTTTTTATATGTTTGATCAACAATTATTTTGAGATATCATCTGGAATTTACTTGCCTATAAATTATTTGATCGAGTAAACAGCTATTGTTTATACCCAGCTGTAATTTTTTGTTTTGCATGATAACTTGAAAAAGATGTAACCTAAAATTTTGGTTTTCGTGAAACCAAAAACTAAACTGTTGGTTATTTAAAACAAAGTGAATTGAGGGATACAAAGTTTCGATTCTTGGTTAGGTTTCTTTTTTGCCCACTCCTAAATTTTACATGCAAATGTACTGGAATTGGCCAGTAAGGCCGGAGGAAAGTGTGGTTTCTTGCCACATCAAGGGAGTAATGCCGCACTTTTTTTTTTTTTTAACTATATTAATTTAATAAAACTTCTTTTTTGCCCACTCCTAAATTTGACATGCAAATGTACTGGAATTGGCCTAAGTAAACTTAAAATATATAGTAAGGCTGGAGGGAGTGGTGCCACCGAAACCGTACTCCCTTCCCCGCCACATAAGCGTCATGTCATTTTTTACCATACAAGTGTGGTTTCTTGTTACACCAAGGGAGTGGTGCCACACTTTTATTTTCTTTTATTTTTGTTTTTTTTAACTATATTAATTTAATAAAACTTCTTTTTTAATAAAAAAACATAATTATAAAAAGATAATATTTCATTAATTAAAAATACAAATACCATATATTACTTAACTTAAAAAAAAAACTAAAAATTTATAAAAGCAAATTAGAAACATAAAACCTACAACTTAAAAAAACACACACACACCAAACGATTAAAAACTTGAAAAAAAAAACTAGAAATCAGCCACGATTTACGTAACGTTTTTTCACTTCCTCCATCGCCAAAACAACTTGAAGCTCGTCCCCGGTCATATTCGACGTGTCCATCGCTAGTATTCGCATGTCGCTCTCCCTTTGTTTCCGAAGCTCTCTTTCAGAAGCAATTTGCAAAATCTTGTCCATTCTGTCTTTTATACCCTTCATGTCGGCCCTCATTTATTTCAACTCATCTGAATCCGACGCTTTGCCTTTGCCTTTGCTTTTTACTTTGTCTCCTCTCATTGGTCGGGAAGGTGGTGAAACTGGAACAGGTTCCTCTTCGTTCAGATCAAATTGAACACGAGCATCTAATGTAGTGTGGTCAGACTCAGATGTTCTGCTGCGTTTTGAACCACTGTCGATATGCTCGTCTGATGTTTTGCTACTTTGTCATTTCTTGTTATCTTTCACAAAATTCCAAACTTCAAGAAACTTGAAAGCCTTCAGATTTTCTTTTTGATACACTTTCAACGCTTTCTTCAAAATCACTTCATCGCTTTCTCCACTTTTTCATTGACGTTTCATGTTGTTATACAAATCATTAAACAACATGATTTCCTTGTTCATATTCCCCCATTTGGACTACACTTGATGTTTTGTACGGTATTCTCCATGGTTCATTCCTTTATGGAACCTATGTAAAACGCAAATCCAAAAGCGGTCATGCTTTTTATCTTTTCCAACCTTCGCATCTTCTGAAATATCGATCCAAGATTGTGCCAACACTAACATTTCCAGGGGTTCCCAACATTTAGCCTCCGCCTTCTCTTTTCTTTTAGTTGTTGCTCAAGTGGGCTGAGTTTCTGTAACGAATTCCGGTTCGGAATCAGAAACGACCGTTTCTGGTTGTGTTTGTGTTTGTTGAACAAACTCGGGTTGAGACAAAAAATCAAATGGGTTAAAATCTGTGTCGGGTTGTGGCAGTGTTTGTGGTAGTGGTTGCGCTGGTCGTTGTGGAAAATACGGAAGCATATCGTCGTAGTGGTAATACGGAGGTGAAAAAATCGGTTGATCGAATGAAGGTATTGGGGTGGTGATGTTTCTGACGGATGTTTTTTCTTTGCTGGGCCTTTTAGAAGAAGACATTTTTCAAAAAAAAGTTGGAGGAAAAGAGTAAAAATTTTGATTAAGGTTGTGTAAAGGTTGTGTAATGGTTATATATATATATATATATATATATATATATATATATATATGGAGTAAAGTTTTAAAAAAAAAAAAAATTTACCCGGAATGTATGACCGTTCAACGGTCAAAAAGCAGTCAAATACCACCATCCAATCAGAGGCCGCGGTTGTTTCTAGCCGCAGTGCGGCCAAGACCGCACGATACCGCACCCTGGGGGCGGTGTTTGCGGTTGACGCGGCGCATTCGCGGTTTGGAACCGCACTCCACACCCTCCGGCCTAATATATTTTGACTAACAAATGGAACAAAAGTATGTCAACTTCTTAAAGACGTTTCTAACCTATCACAATGTACTAGTAATTTAGCTACCTAATTTAACGAACTTATGAAAAATTGGGACATGGTGAGTCCTCTATTACTAGTATGAAGTTATTGATCTTTAAAATCGGTATATAATAACTATATATAAAGAAACGTATTTTATTTATTTATATTTATAGGAAAAAACTTAAATAAATATTAAAACATTAGATAATTTTTAAAAAAGATAAAAAAGCATTCATATGTTTATTTTCGTCTTCGAAACACCTTAAAACATTTTCTATGAACTTAATAAGAGCATTATCATTACAATTTTGTTCAGGATATAATGTTATTGTCAATCCAAAGACCTCACAAGGTGTTTTATCTTTTATTGCCTCAACTTATTCCATTTTTTTCATTGGTCGGATTGAAATAAAGTTTTGCTATCTATTATCAACGTGGTGTGGTGTATCAGTTTACAAGATTCTAAAAGCAAAGTCATGTCATGTTTGTAGTCTTTCTCAGAAATTGTGTTAATTGGAATGTTGAAAGAGAGATGGCAATACAAAGCGAGAGTGTGAGAGGGACAAAAATGAGATAGATCAAGATGTTATTCTAATGGCCAGAGCAAATGGATATAAAGGGTTTGATAAAAATCAATTTAATCTGCAGATGTGTAGCATCCGCTTTTC